TGGAAAATGAGTAAATCGTCAATTCTTACGTTTCTCAATTTGCTAAATAATGAAGTATGCTTAAATTAATGATGCTCAACCTCTGTTGCATTTTCATTCAATTCACCAGGGAGCAAATCAAAAATGGAGGCGGATTTATATTCATTATTTTCAACTGAATGTTTCGAAATGTTACAGTTTATTGAAATCTATCTTGGAGTCCAAGCAGCCATCATTTTTGTTGCTCTTCTTTCGCATGCAATATTGTTGAAAACGTTATTTTCGACCGAGCGATTCCAATGTTCTGGAAGGTAGCATCTATGTACTTCTTCTTTTATTTCAGAATGTGGAAATTATAAAATTAATATTACAAGATTTTTAAACAAAATACGTTTTAATTTTTTTGTATTGTCGGCGTCAGGCGTCCGGCGATTGCTGTACGCGGGTAGATTTACGCGCATGCGCCTTGAAAGGTCTCGCCACGCGTGAATGTTTATTTTGCTGTTTTCACGTAAACTGTTTAATTTTTCTTGATGAGTTTCGCATTTCTTTGAATTTCCAACATCATTCGATTAAAAAATTATTGAATCGGTCCATAAAATTTGAAACAACCTGTTTGTCCTTGCGAGACCATTTCGAAAGAAGCATTCCCGTAAATCTACAGCAGTCGCAGGACGCCAACTATATGTCGGAAAACAGATTTCCTTAATATTTGAATTTTCCCAATATTTGAATAACTCGATTATTTTTCATTCTAGAATAATTTTACTTTTGTTTTGTGGTAAGAAATAGAGTCGAGAAAATATGCTGACTGTTCCAGGACAATTCTCATCGTAAAAGAATTCAATCTCTAGGAATATCTAACGAGGTTTTTTTTTTCATTTAATCATTACGACTTTTTTGCATAGAAAAAATGCAGATATTCAAACAAAGCGAATTATTTCACTATCGAATATCAATAACCAAAAGAAACTGGCCCAATTTCAGAATGGGAATAACTTTGGTATCTCTCGGCTATCAAACAATGCTTATATGCTTTATATTCATGGTAGGAGTATGCGTACCATACGGCTCAATCACTGAGATTCCTCAATGCACACCAGGTTCTAAATTGAAAGCTTTAAAAGGAAAATGAAAATATTAAAGTTCGCCGTTATTTTGTACACATTCACATGTTTTCGATGATGTCAGTTTTAGTTTTCCAATTGATTCACACTTTAGGTATCTTTAAGAGCCACTTGAGTCAATTAAAAACCATATTTAGAAAGATTATTATCGATTCGGCGAAATTCAGTGGCTCATAAAGCCGGAAAAATAACTGATCGTGTTACTTTATTTATTGCTTCTACAGTGCGTTGCAGAATTATAAGGCCACCCCCAAATTTGAGCGCCGCGCAATGATTTCGATATATTGAGACCAACCAGTGTTAAAATCGTGTTCAGCATGAAAAATAACCTATATGTACCAATTTTTATGTTAGTATCTTCAAAAGTAACCGCGCAGTGGTCCAAAACCGTTTTTTCGAGCGGTGCAGAATTATAAAGCCACCCCCATACAACAAGTTATAAAATCAAAAATAACGACAGTTTAATGTTTAGTGGCACCTCCATTCGAGGTAATTATGTCAGAAACACGGTCTGGTATAGATTTGAGAAGGTTTTAAACATATTGGGTCAATTTAGATTTGAATTTTTGCTCTAACGTCTTCCATTCGACTACGATTTCGGTTTTGAGCTCGCCAACTCTTCAAATTTGCTTCCTTGGCCATAGAGATGCCGTACTAATTCTCCCCAGACGTTCTTCATGGGACTCCAAAAAGGAGAACAGGCTGGCCAATCTAGAACGTCCACACTGTGAGACTGAAGCCAGTCCAAAGTAGACCGACTTACATGAATGACCGCATTGTCCTGTTGAAAAAGGACAATAATGACGTCGGAATGGAAAAAGATGGATCTCAAGAACATTCTGATAATCCGAAGAGTCCACCCTACCAATTCCAGAAATCCGGCCTACGAAAACGCTTCCCCCATATATCACGCTGCTTTCTCTAAAATTGAGTTTTGAAAGCAGGAGGCGATTCTTTCGTAAATTGTGCCAGCAACTGTTATTGCCGTCTGGGCTATCCAAATTAAATTTTTTTCCATCGGAAAAAATAACCTGTTGAAGTTTGAATGGTTATTATTCACAATATTCTCGAATATAAGCACCTTGTTCCAATCCGTATTCATATTTTTGAATGCGAACTCAAGGCGTCGAATTTTATGGTCCTCTGTGAGTCGCGGGGCCGGCTCCTTTTTTTCTCTAGCAATGTTGGGGTTATCCTTGATGGTTCCCCAAACTGTCCACTTGCTTTTGTCAAAGTTTAGCTTCTTCTTGGTGTCATTTGTAGACTTCATACTGCTCGAAGCTGCTCGAATCCATGCTCGATTAGCGAGATAGTCCAGTTTTCCTCTGCCGCCTGCCTTTTGCGACATGTTGACACGAGTTGGATCCTTCACAAAGATGTCTACGAATGTTTTCGGATCATTTAAATTTTTCGCAACCTTACGGCTCGACCATCCTGCCGTTTTGAATGCGGTAATCTGAGATTGCTCAGAAGCACTAAGACAGCGACCACGTGGCATTTCAAAATGATTCAAAAAGTGAAAAATAAGGACCACTGTAGGTTCTCAAAGCCACACAACAATTTTTATGCACACTGGTCCCGCCAAAGTTTCAAAAAAATGCGAAAAAGTCCGTTTTATGGGGGTGGCTTTATACAGGGTGTCATTTAAGTTCCCGCACAAAAGTTTGACACCATGAAGAGCTTGGCTGGCGCACTTTTCGTGCACCAATACAATTTATTTTTGTTAAATAAGGTATATTTTACTTACTTTCCAAGTTTCACCTCATTCGGATGTGTTTCCGAGAAATGGCGAAGGCTAACATCCATCGCGCTTCCATTATCGAACTTCATAAGCAAAATGTGAGCCCGAGAGACATCATTCAACGCCTCGGTGTGCCTCGTAGAACGGTTTGCGACATCATCAAACGTTTCAAGGAGCTAAATACGACCAGTGACCGTCCCAGACAAGGAAAACTCGTCTCAGTAACCACTCCTCAGAAGATCAACGCCGTCAAATCGAGGATCAGGCGAAACCCCCACAGGAGCATGAGAAAGATGGCGTTAGACATGGGAATGAGCATCTTCGCTATGGAACAAATTGTCAAAACGAAGCTTGGACTGACCCCATATCGTGTCCAAAAAGCGGCAATTCTATCGGCCGTCAACAAACAGAAACGCTTTGAAAAAGCAAAACGACTTCTTGCTCGCACGCGGTCTGGAGAACACCTCGTCACTGTCTTCTCCGACGAGAAGCTATTCACTGTGGAGGCGGCATTCAACTCACAAAACCATCGAGTACTTGCCCAGACATCCCAGCAAGCTTCTGAGAAAGAAAGATCATATCATCCAGCCTCACATCCTGCCAGTGTGATGGTTTTCGGTGCCATCTGCTCAACCGTGATGTGCCCCTGGATTTCGTGGATCAGGGGGTGAAAATGAACAGAGAAGTCTACGTTCGGGACATTTTGGAGAAGCATGTGATACCCTGGACCCAAACGCATTTCGGTGGGCAGAAATGGGTCTTTCAACAGGACGGAGCACCCGCCCCTACTGCCAAAACTACTCAGGAGTGGTGCCAGACCCATTTTCCCGACTTCATCAAGTCATCCGAATGGCCTGATTGCTCCCCAGATCTGAACCCGCTTGACTTTCCCGTGATGGGGTCTTGCAGGAGAAGGTCAACGCAAAACCCCATTCAAGTGTAGAGGCTCTGAAGAAGACATTACTGGCGGAATGGGACAATCTTTCCATCGAATACCTGCGTACCACAGTCGAATCCAACCCGAAGCGTCTCCGTGAAGTCATAGCTGCGAAAGGAGGCCGAATCAAAAAGAGTTTATAGATAAATATTTGTTATACTATAGATAAAAAATATTTTGAGTCTCGTTTGATTTGGACTTTTAGTTTCAGAAATATACGTCTTCAAAGTTGTGCGGGAACTTAAATGACACCCTGTAATTCTGCACCGCTCGAAAAAACGGTTTTGGACCACTGCGCGGTTACTTTTGAAGATACTAACATAAAAATAGGTACATATAGGTTATTTTTCATGCTGAACACGATTTTCACACTGGTTGGTCTCAAAATATCGAAACCATTGCGCGGCGCTCAAATTTGGGGGTGGCCTTATAATTCTGCAACGCACTGTATATTTGGAGTATTATTGTGCATCGCGTTTGGCTATATTGGTGCTGGTGTAACTTTCGTTCAAAAGCTCACTGTTTTTGCAATTACTTTACCAACTACTCTAATTTTAATTGTAGAATTTTCAGTTATATCAAATATCCAAAATGTTGCATTTTCAGGTTGAGCTAAAATTATTTGCTTATTCACGATTAAAATTCAGACAAACTCGCGGGCTAATTTCTTTAAATAAACGATACGAGGTACACATACATATATTTGAATATTTAATTTCAAATATATTAACCAATATAATACTAAATTTATAGCAAACTCATTTTTCCAGCTTTCTGAAAGTATGAGAATTTCAAAATATCTTTTACCAGTTTCTATAATAAATCTTACCTTCAAAACAATTATTCTCGGCGTCATGTTTCTATTCATCAATGGTCTCATTTTTACTGTCAATGATTTTCCAATCGTGTTTTTCTACATCAATTCGGTACGTCACACTTCTTATTATTTAATTCAATTACTTCGGTGTTGCAGTTATGGAATATTGATGCCATCATTTATTCCTTTTCTATGCTATTGAGTCTTAAAAAATACACGAAAAAAGTGGGAGAAAGTGCCCATAAATGAAGCAAACATCACACTTTTTTTTAGGTATCCTCAATTTTTGGATTCAGCAATAACAATACAAAAGAGATAACTGTGCAGGTTCAGTCACAAAATGTCTACTTTGAGCACCTAAAACGGGAATGGAATTGATGGCAGAATGAAGGATTCGATTCACAACATATTGCAGAATAGCTGGCAGAATGCGTCAGAGAACTTCGCGATTGTTTTGAATTCGTCGGCTCCGCACTTCATCAAAAGCTCATTTGTGAAGCACTCAACCTTCTTCTCGAAATCTTCGCATCCTCCTAATTTGAGCGACTGGAAATTCATTTAATCTTGTTTTCCGATGTAATTCAATTATTTTCTAATTTTTCATTACAAAAATACTTTTCTTTCAATAATTGTTAGTCTGGTTAATTCTTATATCTTAATTTAATGAATAGTTTATAGCCAATTCCCGGTTTTAAATGAAATCACCTCAAACAGCTCATATTCTGGATTCCAGCCATTCAAGCACTCCGAGTCACTGTTAATTATCTGAAAATTTTAATTGAACAAATTTTAGGTGTTTGAATTTCTAATATCATAAATATTCTTATTGTCAAAGACGGACTAATAAGAATTTCTTGCATGCGAGTTTAAGACCTTCTGTGATTCTCAGCAAATTTGAGCAAATTGAAAATGATGCCAAGACTATGATTCCAAAACATAATTCAAAAGCAACCCCCCTCCTTCGAGAATACCTTTGAAGCACATGAGGAGATCCTATCATAGAATCCTTCGCACTGTCTGTTGTGCCAAAATCCGATTCCAAAGTGTCCTAGAGATCCCCTACATGATTCCTTAGTCGCTGCGCAATTCTAGAACTTTGAAAATTTAACGAAAAAAAAACGCAAATCACCAAGGCAAAATCATAAAGATCTTTGAGCTCATTGCTGTAATAAAGAGGCCCTTTGCTGATCGGTGCAATGTGCATTTTCTGAAATTGTCGTTAATAATCATGGAAAATTAGTCAAACCCATTTTTTTATTCACGTTTTTTCTTTAAATTTTTTTTCGCACTTACCATGACATAGAGAGACATGAAAGTGTCTTGTAGTTCGCCGCAGTTCGTGAGATTTTGATTAACAAATTGTTGACCGTTTACAATCGAAGCCAGGAGTAAAACAATACAGGTTTTGACGAACATATTGAACTGGGCTGATCAAACCAACAACCGACAAGAGTCTGTCTAAGCTGCAAAATGAACGGATGATAAACACACAGAGCATAAAGAGGAAAAGAAGGCAATGAAGAGGCGGCAAATTATTTTTAATGGGTTTTAATGATTTGCTCGCCGGCTCACGAGGGCTCGCCTCCTAAAAACTCTCCAATAAGTGGAATAATTAATAAAATAATGGAAATAATCAGAGTTGCTTCCTTTTTGCACAATGATCGAGCATAATATTTTTAGTTAAAGCATTTTTGGAATTTCAAGAGTAGGATTAGGGCAAGCCTTTTCAAAGCTACCATCTTTTAAGACCCCCCCCCTTTTTTTCGGAATTATTAGTAACATAAAGGAAGGCTAAAATCTTGTTAATTAAATAATAATTTCGAAAAGAATGTGGATGGATTAGGGTATTTGTGATTAGCTTTAAGCTATATCTATTCATATCACATTCATCTTATATCGTGGTCCATGAATGGCTATCAATTTGTTTGTTAATAAATTAAATTGAAATCAAATGATGAGTAAATATGGGCATTTCAAACGACTCAAAGGAGATCAAACCTTCAGTCTCACGAAATCAGTCGGAATTTACTCTTTGACTGAATATTCAATGCGCGTACGCTAAACTGCAAAGTACGCAGACACACGCACTCTTCGTCTCAAGACTAGTGGAACATACCTAATACATTTTTCAAATTACAATCACTCGTTTTAAATCGACAATAAAAAGTTTAACAAAATGACGATTCATTTGGGAGAATGCAGAGTTTCAGGAGGAAATCCGAATTCAAAATTCAGGAATAACGTGTATTATGCGTTCTAAAAACTTGAGCAAAGTATCAATATTAATACTTTACATAATATATGTAATTATTATAAAGAGTAAATTAATATTTTCGATAGAGCTATAATATTTGTACAAGAGTATCCAGCAAAATGACCTACGTGTAAATAGTTTCCAAATTAGGCGATTTCTTACGAAAGCGAGCGTTGCTAAGTATCATCCTCTTTCGATTTTTTTTGAATGACGTCGGTGACACCGATGTTAAAAGCTTATGCTCCTATGATCATTTCTTCTTGCTGTGAGGGCCTCATGCTTTTCTTTTTGTTGGAACGAAAGAGCCTATTTATCATAAATGTTTAACTCAAGTGTTCTCAGCATCTCTGAAATAATCCAATGTTGAAAATCGGCATGTGACCCGTTTTACGTGGGCGGTTAATGAATTCAGCAGCAGCAACAAATGGCTTGAAAAAACTACGAACAAGTGTTTTTTTTTAAAGTTGTTTTTTTTTGAAAGAAAGAAATTCTGAAAATAGAATGCCTCACTAATAAAAGATATAAAGATTTTGAACGAGATTCTGCTTTATGTTGGAATTAGTTTTTGATTGAGCGGATTTATCGTAGTTTTAAAGAATAGATATTGAATAAAATATTCTAAAATGAGAAGAAAAACATACTCACATCATCGTGTCGAGACCAAGTGATATTTACATATTTAACGAACCTTTAAAATAGTTGGTGTTTATCAATACGACAGGCGAATTTGAAAAGAAAATAAATATGTCGAAATGTTATGAATCAATCAGCTTCTCGGCTGCATTGTAATTAAATATGTATTCTCGAATAATTAACATCGTCTAATCGAAGTAATTATACACAGCCTTTCAAAATGAGTGTTTCTCTGAAAAAATCGTTACAGTAAAAGTTTTAGCAACCTCCATTTTTTTAAATGGCTTCTGCCAAAAACAAAACAGTATCAACTTTATTCTTTTCTCACTGGAGTGGTATTCGAATTCAATTTGAAACGATTGTTTATATTCTGTGATTTTCATTTTCTTTTCTCAAAACCATTTGTTTCAAGAATTGCAAAATAATCGTATTGTTTTTTTTTAAGAAAAATGTGGTTAAAAAGTTACCCTTGTCCAATCAGTGGGCATGTTGTCTCGAGCAAATGCGAGACGACGTAACTTATGATGGCTCTGGAGGCTCGGAGCTGGACGCGTAACTGCCCGGATGATGTTGGGATCATCATTAAGTGTTCTCCAAGTCGTTGTTTTACTAACATCAAGATTCCGCTCGTTTTTGATGTCGTTGCATGACTTCATCGTGTTGGATTCTACTCGGATGATCGATCTTCGGTCGCGAGAGTTCAGTTCCGCCTTCGATCCGGGATTTTTTGGGGGTCGAATTTAGTTGATCTTGTTGACAAAATTAATAATGCAATCTTTCGACCGCTTCAGGTGCGAAGACATCCTTCGGTTCGACCATCCAGCGATGTTCAAGAATCGATGGTAGCCTTTTCGGCATCGGTGAGCAAAAATCCCCGTGACATGTTCAAATGTTGGTTAAAATACGGGGAAAATAAAGAAAAATATCTTACAGTTCTCTATTCATAACAGGCGTGGGTTTATAAATGTGAAACGCACTGTATTAGTGTTTATTTCTCTATCCATCTAGGCGTTAATTTTAAAAAACATATGTACAAGAACTGGATGAAAGTCAAATTATTAGGTCTAGAAATTAATTTCCGCGTTTTTTTTTCTTGTTGATATTTTGCCAAAATGAAATTATTTTTATATAACGAATTTTATGTCATAATGTTCACTATATTTCAGCTTTTACTTATATATAACATTCATCACGTACTATAAAAAATCTTTATTTTCTTTCAGAATATGTCCACCTTTGAGCCAGGAAAACGTCATTTGCGGGGAGCTATTCTTTTCCTTTTCGAACTCAAGAAGAAAGCCACTGACGAGCACCAAATGCTTTCCCAAGCTTACGGCGAGGCTGCAAAATCCATAAGAACCTGCTAAGAATGGTTTCAGCGTTTCAAATCGGGAGATTTTGACGTCAACGACAAAGACCGATCATGACAGCCAAAAAAATTTGAAGACGAAGAACTTCAGGCTTCGTTGGAGGAAGATTCGGCACAAACACAGGAGCAACTCGCGGCATCTCTCGGCGTCACGCAAAAAGCAATTTCTCATCGATTGAAAAAAATGGGGAAGATTCAAAAGGAAGGAAAATGATGCCCTATGAGCTCTCAGAACGCAACAAAGTGCAGAGAAAAAAACAACTTCACAAATCTTGCTGGACAGATTTCAAAGAAAGTCTTTTTTACACTACGAGTGTACTACGACAATCAGAAGCGAAGAAAATCGTGGGTTAGTCCCGGCGACTTCGACCGCAAAACCCAACATCCAGGGGAAGAAGATCTAACTGTGCATATGGTGCGACCAACAAGGAATTCTGTACTCTGAACTGCTCCAACCTGGCGAAACAATCACTGCGAATCGCTATCAACATCAACTAGTGCAGTTGCGGCATGAAATCGCAGTAAAAAGACCAGAATGGGCGGGTCGACACGAAAAGGTCGTATTGCTTGATGACAACGCGTTGCTCAAGCGGTGAAGGATACGCTGAAACAGATCAAATGGGAAGTCTTACCGCCCCCGCTGTACTCTCCGGACATTGCCCCGTCGGATTATCATCTTTTCCAGTCAATCGCTCATGGTCTGGCGGAGCAGCGCTTTCAAGATCATCAAGATGTCAAAAAATGGCTAGATGAATGGACTGCGTCCAAACCAGAAAAATTCTATTATGATGGAATCCATAAGTTGCCAAAACTCTGGGAAAATGTTGTTATTAATGATGGAAATTATTTTGAATCAAAGTTTTGTTTAAGTTTGCCATTTTTTTAATAGTTTTATATGCGAAAAAAACGCGGTAATTAATTTCTAGACCTAATATTTCTGTGTCTGAATTAGAATTCGAAGCGTACGAATTTAAGCAATTGTTTTTATTATATTTTAATTATTAAAAAAAGAAATAAAACAAAGTGTTTACCATCAAGAGTTTTTCATTAAATTCAAAAATTAAAGTTGTAAAATGTTTAACAAAAAAACTTAAAACATAAAAAAGTGAAAAAAAAATCTTTAAAAAAAATTAAGAAAGTATGATTAGGTTTAAAATACTTGACTGTTAAAATATATATACTTATGTATATATATAGTGTATTTTTTTCAAACAGTCCATTTCGATTATAAATTACATCATCTAAAATGATATTCCAACAAACGCCTCTTGCATTACGAATTTCGAACTGATCATGTTTTCACCTTCATTCTGACCTCAATACGACGAATAAATCCATCTATCTATTTCCATGTGTGAATGATAACCAGAATTCGCTCAGGTGTCTAAGTGTCTCTTGAGAAATATGCGAAAAACTCGCACACGGAAAATGTTTCCATGTTCACACATGAGTAGGCCAACTGTCCGGATTTTCTTTTCATTTCTCATTCACACACTTTCATCCGTTCCATGTTCAATTCGTTTTCAATCGTGGGGTCTGTGCGCAATTCAAATTGGTTTTTTTTTGCATCCCGCTTAATGTCTGGCAAAAACGACAAAGATATTAATTTTTCATATTTAACTACTTCTATTAGTTGATAGATATTTGCAGGAAACCTCAAATAATTCATTTTCTAATTTATTATATATGCATATAATATTATTAAATTATTAAAATGTAATCGTAGTGTAACTCAATAAATCTAGAATCCTTGATAATTAAAATCAATATTATTAAAATCAGTTTTTTTTTTAACGAAGATCATTTAACACGACGGCGAAATGTAGCTATTCATAAAGACCACAGACGCCTTTTTATTGCTAGATTTAAAAATACTACATACATTGCTAATAAATTCACTTTCAATTCCAAGTGAAAATAATGCAGACGAAATGGGCGGCAATTTTCGGATAGCCGCATTGGCATCGAAACCATAAAAATAGCCGGTCGCATTTGTTCGTTCGGCGGACCGAGAGAACTGGTCCTGTCTGGATTATGCAATGTTCCACCTACCAATCTACTACTTTATCCGCCGTTTCAGAAATCTTTTACACACCTCATTCTTTTTCATTCGTCTTTGTTGGTTTCCAGGCGTTTTGCACAATTCGTTTCAAACTTGAAATATCGCCATCTACTCAGACCACCTCATGTACACCAGATGGTTTCTGCTCATTCTCGCACAATTCTTGTCAGATTTTGTAACAGCAAATGACGATTTGTATATTCTGATTGATGAAATAAGCGTCTACAATTGTCGAGGAGGTTCGTTGTTTGATTTGAAGTGAAAATTGAGCCGAGAATCGCACGTAATTTCTCGTGATTGTTTTTGTTTTGCTTGAGTTTGATAAAATTGTTTTCTTAATGATTTACGAGTTTTTAGTGAAAAACGAAATCAAAGTGAATGAGGAGGATGTTCAAATTGTCGACGAACGCGGTCAACGAGTTTATTACATCCATGCTCCTGGAAACTATTCGCTGAATTTCAAAAAAATCAAAGTCGAAAAAAATTTCGGCTTTCTGGCCGGCGAAATCGGCGTGACACTTCAAGTGCCGATAATCGAAGGACCCGCTGGCATTCGATTTGATCTACCGTACACGATGATTCCTGAAACGAGTCTTATCTCGCAAAAATGCGACGAATACAGCGGAGTTGTTGAGAGAAACGGCAGAACGTACTGTCGATATTGCGATTTGTGCGAAGTCGGAAATGCCGTCGAACGCGATTTGGCGAATGGACGCAATCAAGTGAGTAAGCGATTTCAAACTGCCCACTACTAATCGAGACTAATATTTCAGTTTCTTTCGAAAAATCCCAACGACACGCCAAATGGAAAATGCCACGATATTGAGGCGAATGAATATGATTTTAGAAGGACTATTCAACTACCAAGTCGATCGACCTTGGAAAATCTGATTCGAAGTAAAGCTCAGGGAGTGGACGACGAGATTAAGAAGCGATTGAACAAGGGAAGAGGAAGATTCCAAGTGTTTCTGAATTTGATCACAGCTGAGAAGCCAGCAATTTCGAGGAATCGATGGTTCGCTGGATCGAAAGATGTTAGTCGCTTATAAAAATACAAGAATTTATTGAAATTTACAGTGCGAGTGTTGTTTCAACAAAAATTCTGAAAACTGCGACAGTCTCTCGTATCTGTATTGCAATATGGAGGACTGCAAAACCGGTTGGGCTCTTCAATGCCTTCACAATACTGCGAGAATTGCAGCATGTTATACGGTGGAATTCAATTATAGGTAAAGGAGTTTCGTTTTCGAAAATTCGCATTTACACTCATGAGAAAACTTTCAGAATGACTGTATCCTACGCCGACGTTGTTCAATTTCTTCGAGAAAATAATTACCCGCTTCAAAATTACAATCCCGCCCAGTTCAGCAACATTCCAGCGAGAGCAGTTCCAGCACAATTGAGACCCAATGAAATAATCACACCGGCTCCGAAGCCTGTGATGCCAACAGCAGAACACAGGGAGATCAGTCAATTACAGATGTCGAGAGCATGTGTTGAATCCATGTCGCCAAGGTTAACCCATCTAAAACGGTACGGAATTTGTCCAAATTTGGCTCATCATTAATTTTTAGGTATTGCACAATTTTCTGGAACGAAAAGCTTTGTTGCGAGCATTGTCCCGATATTTGCTAATTGTTTGTTATCTTGTTGTCTTTCACTCTTCTTCTGATCTAGTTTCGAAATAGCTAGGCTCGACACCAAAAACAGTAAAAAGAAACCAAATGCACGAGTAATTCCTTATTTATTAATCATCGAATTTCACCATGTAAATAATAAAATTGTGGCTATTAATCTCGCGCGTACGGCCAACTATCGTGAATGTCAAATGTAAAATAGTGGGCGGTGCAATGAGGATCTCGAGGCGAATTGATGGATGGATCATTTTATACAAAACGCGCTCGTCACTTTTTGATTTGTTCTCGAATTCGTCACTTTTTATGTATTGAATATCGCCGAGCATCCGCCGTTCAATTTTTCCAATAATCTATTATTTAGGATGAGAAACATCATATTTCTCATTCATTCGTTATTCTTCGACATTAGAAATCAAACATCATTTCTATACAAATGACATTTATTATTCGCATTGATTTTCAATACTTGGTTTCCTAGCTACCATTGTCTATAAATTGCTTTAAATCTCATTTAATTATTATATAGAAAAAGAAGAATTCTAGAATATTCTATTTCTTTTTGAAATATGTATTGCGATACCGTATTCGTCGATGAAGCGCTCAAATAATGTTTTGTTTTCGATTTGTCAAGAGGCCGCTAAGAACACAAACGAGCACTCAAACAACATTATTATCATTATTATTTTTGGGTGGCCAAAAGTCGAAATCAAATTCTGATAGGCTCCTTCTGCTGTGTGTTAACAGATCTCGTGAGTTCATATAAAAATGATTTCCACAATCATTTGATCATGATTTCATACCTCTGTAGTATGTATCAATTTGCCCCCAAGTTTTTTTGGTATCACATTCTCACAATTCAAAATAATGTTCATATGAGCCATAAGCTATAGTTGGATTAAAGCTTTTAAAACAAATTAGTAAATGCGTGGAACAAACCATATCAAAATACTATGTACAGGGTGTCATTTAAGTTCCCGCACAAAAGTTAGACGCCATGAAAAGCTTGGCTGTCGCACTTTTCGTGCACCAATACAATTTATTTTTGTTAAATAAGGTGTATTTTACTTACTTTTCAAGTTTCACTTCATTCGGATGTGTTTCCGAGAAATGGCGAAGGCTAACATCCATTGCGCTTCCATTATCGAACTTCATAAGCGAAATGAGCGCCCGACAGAGATCATTCAACGCCTCGGTGTGCCTCGTAGAACGGTTTAAGACACCAACAAACGTTTCAAGGAGCTAAATACGACCAGTGACCTTCCCAGACAAGGAAGACTCGTCTCAGTAACCACTCCTCAGAAGATCAACGCCGTCAAAACGAGGATCAGGCGAAAACCGCACAGGAGCATAAGAAAGATGGCGTCAGACATGGGAATGAGCATCTTCGCTATGGAACAAATGGTCAAAACGAAGCTTGGACTGACCCCATATCGCGTCCAAAAAGCGGCAATTCTATCGGCCGTCAACTAGCAGAGACGCTTCGAAAAAGCAAAACGACTTTTTGCTCGCACGCGGTCTGGAGAACACCTCGCCACTGTCTTCTCCGACGAGAAGCTGTTCACTGTGGAGGCGGCATTCAACTCACAAAACCATTGAGTACTTGCCCAGACATCCCAGAAAGCTTCTGAGAAAGGAAGAACAATTCATCCAGCCTCACATCCTGCCAGTGTGATGGTTTTCGGTGCCATCTGCTCAACCGGGAAGTGCCCCTGGTTTTCGTGGATCAGGTGGTGAAAGTGAACAAAGAAGTCTACGTTCGGGACATTTTGGGGAAGCATATGATGCCCTGGGCCCAAACGCATTTCGGTGGGAAGATATGGGTCTTTCAACAGGACGGAGCACCCGCCCCTACTGCCAAAACTACTCAGGAGTGGTGCCAGACCCATTTTCCCGACTTCATCAAGTCATCCGAATAGCCTGCTTGCTCCCCAGACCTGAACCCGCTTGACTTCTCCGTGATGGGGTCTTGCAGGAGAAGGTCAACGCAAAACCCCACTCAAGTGTAGAGGCTCTGAAGAAGACATTACTGGCGGAATGGGACAATCTTTCCATCGAATACCTGCGTACCACAGTCACATCCTACCCGAAGCGTCTCCGCGAAGTCATAGCTGCGAAAAGAGGCCGAATCGAAAAGAGTTAATAGATAATTATTTGTTGTACTATAGATAAAAAATATTTCGAGTCTCGTTTGGTTTGGACTTTTAGTTTCAGAAATATACGTCTTCAAAGTTGTGCGGGAACTTAAATGACACCCTGTATATAGCTATTCTATAGAAGATAACCAACAATATTCATTCGGGAATGTGCCATGAAAATCTAAATTTCGAACGATCGAAGAAATCTAACTGAAAATCATTTATGACAATGCCAAAAGTGTCGTCATATCCAAAACAAAACGTTAAAAACCTGGTAAAATCATTGGATCAGTGGGATAACTTTTCTTTTTAATATTCAAGAAGTCTCAAAGTGATTTTCGAACAGTTTAATACTTTTGCTGTAGTTGTATTTTTCATGGGGTTTTCACCCGAATTTTGTAAATAATGAAATGTTTTTATATATAGATATAAAAGAATATAAAAAAATAAGATTTTTAATTTTTATAAGTAGATTTTCGTCAATTAGATGCACTAATTAATGCGAAATTGTGACGCATTTTGCGAATATCACCCTATTTTGAGCTCTTTGATTCATTATAACTCATTTATCCCAATTTGCCTCTATTAATGGCTATCCATCTTCATATAACACTATATTTTTTTCGCATTTCTTCTTCTTTTCATTTTCCGGTTCTTCAATCATTTTTCTGAGCATTAATTGGATTGGTGCTCTCATTTTGGGTTTGTTCAACACATTTAATATATTTTTTCATACTTTCTGACTATTTTCGCCAAAAAAACAATTGTCGAAAAGAAAAAAACTGTCGGAAATTTGAACAATTTTGACCAAATTCTATTTTATATATTTTGATGTATACTGTAGTTTTTTATGCAAAATATGTATATATATATATATATATATATATATGTATATATGTATATGAATATATATATATATATATATACATATATATATATATATATATATATATATATATATATATATATATATATATATATATATATATATATATATATATATATTAAGATCCTGCTAATATTGTAACTCAACGAACAAGAATTCAAGAAAAACAAATTCATTAACAAAATTAAAAATTACTTTGACTTTACTGTGGAAAAACTGATCAAGAAAAAAATTAAAAAAGTGGTGTTTTTTTCTGTAAAATTTGCGTCACGGTGATTTCACGCATTTCCACGCTTTACCATTTATCCCATTTTTTCTGATTTTTTAAACCCCAAATGTTAATAAGTCAAGAGCAAACACCAAAATTTTGCGAAATTGAGTTCGAAAACGCTGATGTTTTGGTGGCAATTCAAACACCTTTCTCACTTATAGAAAATTTTCGCGTTTCGGTGGTAATTTAAATCACCTGTTCATACAATAAAAATAAATAGAAAATTTCACATTGTTCCGATTTGCGGTTGCAAAAAAATTTCACATTAAATGTGATTTTCCCATTTGTAGTATGAAATATACATTGCATGAATAAGTCCATAAGAAGACATGTATATATAGGTAAATAAAAAAGACGATGTTATTAAATAAATAGACTACAAGCACAGGTGAAATGTGGCGGAAGGAAAATTACATTCTAGGTGTGTATTATCTGGCAATAGGTTGATCTAAACCAGGGCTGTGCGACAATAGGATTGCCGATTGCCGAAGTTGCCTAATTTCCGCTGGCTGCCCAGCACTGTTCTAAATAGATACATAGATAGTGATAGAGGACTTATTGCGAATGAATAAACTTTTTTGTTAAAAATATTATCTTCATGCTCATATGGTTTATCTTATAATATTCAAGAAGATGTTTGATTCAAACAGTTCGGCGCCAATCCGAGCGGACTTTGCAAAATTTCGAAACGGTGGTGCAGCTTCAGTGTCAAAACCCCGATGGCACTTAAGTTTCGAGTGCTTCGACCAGCGTTTTTCGGATTTCTCTTCCAATTACCACTTCATCTAATTGTCGCAATATTTGTTTTCGAGACCATTGTGCGAGACCGTTTGACACCAGCTCACACTTGCCTCGTTTTGGTTTCGGAGTTCACCCACATATATATTTTTCTGTTTCTAAAATTTGGTTGGACTCCAATTTAATAGTATGAATAAATTTGAGAGAATCCACTTCAAATGGTTAAACCTTTGTAGAAATATACTGGAAGAGTATATTTATGTAAAATAATACTAACATATTCCTTTAAAAAACCATTAGAAGGTTTTATAATGATTCGACACGATTAGTAAGATAACTTCCAGTGTGCACCTTTCAAGTACACAGTAGAGTCCGGCTTTTCACTTCAGCATAATTAAGTCACATCAAAATTGTTATAAATTTATGCCAAAAGCGCATTCCGAGCTTAAAACGAAGCAAATCGAATAACCGATTTCTAAAATTTATTGTTAATAACTAGAAAACTTGATGTTTTCCACGTTCTTTCATTTTTAGTCCGTTGGTTCTCCGATGAGTTCATATTTTGTGTAATATTTTGACCAATTGTTTCGAAAATAAGAATGCGTTTCATAATTTTTTCGAAAATTTTGTGCGAGAAATTTATGTGAATTCGATCAAGCGAATTCTTGCGTATTGCTCGATCGTATTTCATGGATTCTCGTGCATTCATTTGTCGCCAATTCGGCCTCCCCCACAATGTGATAAATATCGTGATAAATTATCGAACAACTGCTCGTCTCGGGTTTTTTTCCGTCGATTCCTTCTCGCCGCAGCCTTCTTTCTATCTCTTTCTTTACCACTAATAAAACTTGATTTTTTTCGACCCATCACCATGATTTTGCGTTCTTCTTCTTCTCGACAACTTTCTTATTAACATGTAGACCCAAACGATAAGTACAACACAACACATCTGGCAGTTTCAAAAGCTCGTAAAAATTGGCCGCGCCTTGTCTTTCGTTTTTTATTCTGTCTCGAGCTTGTTCGGAAATTGAAAAATGGATTTTCCGGAGATGCATGAGATCAGCAGGTGGTGCCGTCTAAATATTTCGAATTCCTTTCCATTCATCGCTTGTCAATCCAGTGCACACGTCACGTTTATCTAATTGCACGTCATTCCTTTCTTGTTAACATCCATCCATTACATTCCAAATATATTTAATATATTGAGCCCAGTTGGCCACAGTATCTCTCAGTGTTGGGCGTAATTCAATCTAGGCTTTGCAAGAAGGCGCTTGTCTTGATCCCAACTGATACCGACTACCAAAAATACCTGACAACAAAGTCCGCGTGCAAACAAACTGAGTCGGAGTAGTCCAAAAAACGTAACTCCAAACATATAGAGAACATAGATGGGACCATAAACTATATTGCTCTTGATTAAATTATAGCCTTGAAACATATTAACGAAATTGAATTGAAAATTATTTTGATTTATCTTTAAGATCAGAAATTCCGAACACCCAAGTTTTTCATTATAATGAAATTGTTGGTCGTCGACTAATTTTTATTCGAGAAAAGTTTTTTAAACAATCTTAATTCGGAAATGTTTTGAATCTCTCAAATTTCCGATTAAAAATGATAGATTAATAATAAAAACGATTGAATTAAATATCAAGATGATTGTGGAATTCGCGTTTCGTTTTTGCATCAAGGTTTTAAAATAAGTCGATAAACGTCAAATAAATAGAAAACGGAGCTGTCAAAACTGTACATCAAACAAAAAAATGTCGACCCGAAAATCATATCGAAATTCGAGATTCGTCAAAAATGGTTCGATTTTTCTCGTCTAGAATGGCCCAAACAATGGTAAGCAAAATCAAATTTAACTTCAAATCGAAAAATCGCCATCTTGAAAAGGCATATTTCATGCTTCGCGTATTATTTTGAAAACCACAAATTTGCACTTTTGCGTTTAGAAATTGAGTCGGAATTTTGGGATTTGACATCATATCACCTGCTAGACTTGCGATTGTTTTAATGAAACGTATTTTCAATTAGAATCGACTTCCGGAATCATCTAGGATTTTCTGCGCCTTTAAATATACTCACAAGCTGTTTTACAAAATAATGTTTCTATTTTTATGCTTTTATTCGATTTTTAATAGCTTCGCAGTAATTTTCTTCTACTTCTTTTGTTTTATTTCAACGGATTTCAAACAGAACAATAACATCATCGCGAGACCACGTTTAAAGGCGCACAAACTTGCCAACCTTGGTTTATTTATATTTTCTTCTTCTTCTTCTTCGAAAGGACGACTTTATTCAGATCCTGTGGGAAACTCCAATTTCTCAAAAATTATCATAAACAGAATATTATATTTCTTCATTCCTTTTTTTTCCAGAAAACTGAGATGAATAAACTATATCAAATTACGCCATTTTTCGTGACCATAACTTTCTTTTTTGAAACGTTTATTGCGTGACAACTGGTCGAATTATTCATTATATGTTATATTAATGTGTTTTGTTGGCATAACGATAAGATCATAATATAATTCGCGAAGTAAATTCAATTGGTAGTTGTCAACCAAAACACACCAATTTCTTTCCTTCCTTGGTGTAATCAATTATACTTTGGCACGCTGAATTATTCAAGCACAAGGTTCTGATTTCATATCCGTCTTAGATTCCTCGGCATCAGCAAATAAATAAAACTTCAAACATCTTGTTTGATTTGCAAATTATGATGAGAAATATAGAATATTTTAGTTCTTCTGCTTGTTTTTGGTATTTAAGAACTTAATGCAACGATTGCTTTGAATGAGAATTATCGTTCCGAAACCAAATTTAAAGCATTGCCGAATCGCATTAGTTTCGTGGCAAAACAACAATTATCAAAACAATTTGTCGCAAAACCACCTGACTAGCAATTCATGGCCCATTTTTTCTGGCATTCAGAACCGAATTTTCATGCTCTGAATTCAGTTTTAAACGATTATCGAAATTCGGGTGATTCTACTACCATAACTCGATTTTTTTGTGAATATGCATATATTTTGATATTTCAAAACGACGAATATAAATATACATATGAATTCCTACTGTAGGAAATGAGAAATCGCATTAGATGATCTTTATGAGCTTCGTAAATCTTTCCGGCTGATGATGTTCGATAGAGTGAGTTAAGTCATCGAACAACATGTATAAAATCATGTTCGCCGTGTTTTCTTCTTTTCAACTGAAATATTCATCCATTCGATTGCGGACTTTCCTTTATTTCTTCTGCATTTTTTGGTGACTCACTACGAAAATATGCTCAAGTTTGCAAACGTTTCACAACACGACGAATATTTCGTCACAAATTGCGGTTTTCAACGCAAATCGGCAAAAATTCCTATCCGTTATCTTTTGCGAAAAAAAAACGAATGCGGTGATGCTCCTATTGTACCAGAGCAGTTGCGAGTCGTCGACTTCTGACATATGACCGATTTGTGTGCTGAGCAGAACTTTATTATTTACCCAATTATTATAATTGCCAATAACCATTTGATTGATGTGATTTTCGTTTATAGGCAGCACGCGCGCAAAAAATGACGGTCCCTTCAAATCTGATGCAATTCTCGGAGGATATCATCAAACAGGTTTTTCACAGATTCTCGCAATTCGATTCAACATTTATAAAAATTTCAGTTGACTCCGGAAGAAATTGACGAGTTCCGAGAGGCGTTCATGATGTTTGATAAGGACGGCAATGGAACGATATCGACGAAGGAATTGGGAATTGCAATGAGAAGTCTCGGACAAAATCCGACTGAGCAAGAGATTCTTGAGATGATCAATGAAGTCGACATCGATGGAAACGGACAAATCGAGTTTCCCGAGTTTTGTGTGATGATGAAACGAATGATGAAAGAAACTGATTCCGAGATGATACGCGAAGCATTTCGTGTGTTCGACAAAGACGGCAACGGTGTCATCACTGCCCAGGAGTTCCGCTATTTCATGGTATATACGGCAAATTTTTGAATACGATTTTTCTGATTTCAATCAATTTCAGGTTCACATGGGAATGCAATTTTCTGAAGAAGAAGTCGATGAGATGATCAAAGAAGTTGATGTTGACGGTGACGGAGAAATCGATTATGAGGAATTTGTAAAAATGATGTCGAACCAATGAAACCCTCGAATCTCGAAATTGCTGTAGATACGCTTTGATTTTCCTGAATCTCGTCGCATCGCACTTCTGCTACCGGTCCGCGTTGTATTTGACACCCCTGTGAGATCACAATTTCGTTCATTATTTCATAGTTGAGCTTCATTCATCATTCCCAACCAATTATGGCCTATTTCTGCACTTGTATATACATACATACATGCTAATATACTATAATATATCAATTTATTATTATTATTCCGCATTATATATTTATATGTATAGCATATTGATGAAATAAAGCTTCAAAATACATACAAATTATCTCAGAAAAAGGAGATTGCGTGACGGTGTTGCCGAAGTTCGACTGAAATGTTCACGTCGAGACAGATGTCGGGTAACCTCTTGAGGAGCTCTTTGCCGCCGAGCTCGATGCACATGTTGTTGAGAACATTAACATATTTCAACGCATACTCGTGCTGAAAACAATATTCTAGAAATAGCTTTACACCATTAGAAGTACCTTAGTAAAGTCGATGCAATATTTCTTGAACAAATTGACGACGTCATGATGGCAATCAACATCCAACACTGGTCGTTTGTTCATAAACATGCGCTCGATCAAATCGTCAGATTCGAATTCGAACAACTTCTCCACAATCATGTGGATGCTCTTTTTGATCGAATGTCGAGATTCGCGGATCATGCGGATTCTTTTGTGAAGGTTGACCTTCTCCAACGCGTTATTTGATCTGAGCTGCATCGAGATCAAATGATTCAACTCGATATCTCTTGACGGCCAGTTGATGGATTCCTTAGCAGAAAACGTCTGAAATTAAAAGTATTTCGAATTTAATTCGAAATTCAAAACATTTTTACATTTTCCGTGTAATATTGGTTTCCGTCGCTTTCTCCTTGGAATAGTCCAACAGCCTCCTGTGCAATGTCAAGATCGCCGAACTGCATGACGTGCGACAAATTGGTTTCTTTCTTGACCAGATCATATTGATACTGAAGTGTTTCTGTCGACAGGTCTTCGACGTCGCTGTCAGACATCCAATTCACACTGAATAAATCTCCGAGGCATGGAAGATTCATGTCGTTTTCGCAGAATGTTCCCCATGATGATTCATGACCATTTGCGGCAGTAATAGCGTAAACTGGAAATTAGGTGTAAATTGTGAAATAATGATGGAAAATATTGAATTACTATTCAAATCATCCTTCAGAACTTTCTCGAACATGCTTCCGGATTCGCAAGCTTCGAGATAGAAGACCAATTGCGAGAACCGGTTGTTTTTGTGCATCCAGGTGAGGGCTTCGTTGAGCTGTTTGACAGTAAGCTGTAAAAAATAGTTGTCAGATTCTTCGGGCATTTCCATTCATACCATTTCATCAGGGAATGAGATGAGGCCGACTGCTCCATGATCAGTGAAATAAATGAATATTCTGTCATCCTCATTTCTAAATATAAATCAAGCCTGTGCATTTCAATATTCAAATTTCCTACGTGTTCAATACTCTTCCATTTCCACCTCGAATTCCACTGCTGTTTCCCTTGATAACGTTCAAAAAGTTGTCGGGTGTCACCGAATCTCCTCGATAGTCGATTTTCAATCCTTTGTACAAGTCTTTTCCATGTGGCTTATTGAACAATTTTCCCTTGTAGGGATTCATTTTGTGATTTGCCACGTCATCGTACATCATCACAATCATGTTTTCATCGGGAATTCCGTGATTTTTAAGCGTGTGGTACGCGTGAGCAACATCGGCTTGATGACGGTAGTTGTACCAACCATTGGAGCCAGCAACCAGCACCACAAATGTTTCTCCATCAGATCTGAATAGTGCCGATTACCGTTCCACAGATCTATGTCGAATGCGTCACCTGATTTGCTTCTTTCTCGCCGCCAATCCTTTCAGCGGTCTGATTCTTCTCGCGCATTCAGCCGCTTCCAGCAACACTGCGCAAAAGAGCAGCGCTGTAAACAGTTTGCACATCGTCTGAAATATTGTGTTGAGCAGTGTACAAGTAAACTGAGAATGATGAAAATGTCGCTCATCACATTTTATCAGTGCACTGATAATCTTGTTTACTGACAGCTGACTCCTGCTGACCCATATCAGACGATTGACAGAAAAACGTTCAGCGGTTTAAATTTGAAATTTCGATAATAAAAAATCTTATGATATTTTCTAAACAATTTTATCCAATCTCTATAAATTTCACGAAATATCATAAAACTTTGCAATTTCTTTTAATATTTTCGAGGAGTGCGAGCTGATTCAATAGTTTTTTTTTTCAAAATTTTCATAGTTTGATTTTCACCTTCGCGGAATGACCATGTGATTCAAAGCTCTAAAGAAGAAAGATAAAACGTTACGAAATTGATATGAATTAATAGATTAAAGTTTTAAAATGATTAAGAAATAGTAAAATTGTGCGCGCATTTTGGAATTTTTCAAATATATTTTTGAAAAATTTTGAATTTTGCAAAAGAGTCATTTGAATAAAATCTCATTTTGATTCATTTCGTTTCAAGAAAAGCTTGAAAACGTTTGGGCCGATCGATTTAAAACGCAATTTATGGTCATGAATTGTAATGTGTGCAAAATTGCGTTTGTGTGTGTACAGATAAAAAAGGCACAATGATGAAATTCGCTCGTTTAACTGTTTTCTCCATCGTGCTTCAACTATTCTATTAAGTTTTTAAATTTTACTAATTGTAAGTAAATTTGATGTTTTTACACTACATATTTGGATTTTAAAGGCGCACGCAAAAAAAACTTTTTCAGTTCAGATTATTACCATCGCAAAAAAATTAGCACTTTGACAAATTGTGGATCATCGCGCGATTTCGAGGCAATAACTCAAATTTGAATTTAAAAAATGGGAATTCGAATACCGTACTCTCGATAACCTGCGACTCAAACTCACCGTAAATCGACACAAGGCGCTCTTTTTTTGCGAATGTAATACATCAGTCAAACGGTTTTTAGCATCTGCATGCCTTTGAAAATATACTTTAGATATTTCATAAAAACCATTCATAATCGGTTGAAAAGCTGAAACTATCAAATTTAATCAAATATTCATTTATTTCCATTCCATATAAAACTGTTCAATAATTTTCGTTTCAAGAACAATTTTTAGCACCCAATTTTCTATTCAGTTTCGCCTCGACTTCAAAAAAACAAGCTTGACTTTATGCTTTATGCTTGTTTTATGGATTATTTTGTATCTAATTTTGGTTTTGCTTCTTGACTTCTTTTGAACAAATTATATAATACATTTCCAAAATTCATTACGTAATTCCGTCGGCCGAAAATGAAGACGAATGAAAATTTCTTTGAAAAAAAAATTTAGGCTGTAATATAATTGAAATGTTACTTTGTATATTAAATTTGCAGCAAAAAAACGAGCACCCTGTGCGGATTGACGGTGAGTTAGATTCGCAGGTTATCCAGAGAATTGTTCACAAATTCCCACTGTTTAAATTCAAATTTGAATTTCCCCCTTGAAAAGTGCGTTGGTCCACAATTATGCAAGACGCTCGTTTTTTTCGATGTTAATATTATTCTGTATTAAACTTAAACATCAAAAATCTCATGTTTCCGTTTTAAAATATTTGTTAAAAAAAAACAATGCATGTACATATAGTACACGGTAGACAGTCAGACACGCTTGGCGACCACAAATTCGACTATTCAGCGATCGACCAACCCGGAACTAGAGAATGAAATTCGAACAATTCGCAAAGTGTAATTCACTTCTCCGCTCCTCAGCCATTCTCTCGGTTTTTTGTTAGAAAGTTGTCAAAGATGGCCGCTCTCAAAATCGAGCTAGCAGACAGTCGCGATTTCTATTTTCCTGGCCAAACCATCAATGCTGTGGCCACGTTCAAAACTTCAGAACCATATAAGGTTGGTTTTAAAATTAAGATTTACTACTCCAAATAGTAGTGAATTTTTTTATGTTCGTTATTTAAATAATTCAATTCAATTGAATTGCGGAAGACAGGCAACTGCCGGAATTTTAAGTAATTTCGGTCAAATTTATTTTGAATTCTTCGCGCGTAAATAACAAGTTTTCGCATATATTATTTTTAAGTATACTGTAGTTTTACATATGTTTGATACTCAGTCGAAGAATAAAAGAATTCGATACCATATTAGGTAGTTCAAAGTTTTCCTCACCATATGGTTTTCAATTTTTTCCCACGTTTTACAATTTAACAACTTCAAACATGAGTCGATGCTCTAATGTTACTACATATATTGACGATTTCAAACGACTGGACGAAATTTTGAAAAAAGATTTGGCTATGTGCCAATGGCCTCGAAGCAAAGAGAACAGTGTGCGTCTGACAAGTGTGAGTACTTTGTATTTTGTGAGCACTTTGTATTTTAGAATACGCGCATATGTATAATATTTGCTTTCAAGTTTGTAGATCTACAACGATTTTGCGAATTTGAACATCCCGCCATCGATCAGTCTTTTGACGCTACTGATTTGGGCGTGTTCGTTCAAATTTGAACTACGCAATCGGTGTCTAGTTTACGCTTTTTTACGATATATCGAGAAAATTTCAAATTTTCGAGAGCAGTCTGTCATCGACAAAATTCGATAATTGTCGTAGCGCGTGAATTTCTCGGTGTTTCATCGATTTTCATTTTATTTTAAGGCAACTGAAGTTCGAGCATACTGCAAAGGAGAGGCCCGCATCTCTTTCAGAGAAAATTCGGCAAGATACAATCGAATAGACATATTGGATACAAATGATGGTTACGTTTCTTTCTACACCCGCCATGCCTTCATTGATGACCAGAGCCTTCTATGGGCATGCGCTGATGGATCGGTAAGAAATTTGAACACCAAAAAATGAAAATCGAAAATTTGAAGGAAAATATTCCACCCGGCGAATACAAATGGAATTTCTCATTTACTCTTCCCGACAATTGCGAGCCCTCATTTCAATGTGATTACTTCCAATTAAGTGTTTGAATTATAGTAATTTGAGAATCTTTCAGCTCAAAATGGATCGATTAAATATTCAATTAAAGTGGAAATCAATCGACCAAGAGCTCTTGATAAGACTGAAACTTGTCCGATAATCGTGTTGAGACCATCATTGGGCAACATTCCAACAGACCTGAAACCACTTGATAATGAAGTAACTTCTGACCTCGGAGCATCCTGTTGTGGGCTATTTGGGTCAGGGCAAATCAAAGTCAAGTTCCATATGCCGAAAACACGGATTAGGGTCGGGGAAACGGTGAACATGGAGTTTGAAGTCAATAATCAAAGCACAACAGCAATTAGAGGGGTAGGTGGACATATTTCAAATTGGGAGTATTTCGATCGGTTTTTGAGATCCACACTTACATCAATAGTAAAGCCGTGATGAGAGCAGAACATAGTGAGCATGCTGAGGAAGAGATCGGAAGAATGATCGAAGACATGGTTCTTAAGTCAACAATCCCGAAATACGAGCTGAAAGAAGAGGATCCGTATACAGCATGGAAGCAATCCGTCAACGTATATAGTTTTGATAAAAATCGATCTTTATAACGAAAACGTTCAGTTTGACAAACCGAAAAAGTCGAAAGAGTTCAAATACACTCATCAGTTCGTATTTCCACCATTGGCGGCGACATTCAACGGCGGAAACGAAGGTTCTCTCGTTAGCACTTCATACACTATGGAGGTACATATCATTTAATAATTTATCAAGTTAATTCTAACAATTAAATTGTTAAGGTTTCATTGGATATCAAAGTATTCACAGTTGCTCCGAAATTCCGGTTCCCAATCGAAGTCTATGTGATGCCATGAACGACTAATTTTTTATATCATTTCTTCCAAGTTACACGCATTGTCCGCATCCGGCAACTGTTGTACGCAAGTACATTTAGTACGTTTAAGGGAATTCGTATTTCGGTCTATGATTTCGAATTTCAATTATCAATGGCGTTAGAAATATAAGAAAAGTACAAACTCGATTAAAGAAATACATAATTTGTGAAAATAACAAAATAAGAATTTACTCGCGAGACTTTAGCGAAAGACGCTTTCCCCGTAAATCTACAACAGTCGTCGGGCGTCGAATACATTCAATTGCATTCCATTTATTAAAAAAAAATGTATTTTTTAAATCGATATTTCTTTCACTTTCTAGTAAATACTGTCGAAGTCAAACGACTTGACAAAATTTAAAAATTGATTGGCAATGTGCCAATGCGTTTCGAGGCAGCGAGAAGTACGCGAGACTGCGTACATTGCATTATAGTGTACGCGCATTTACTATTCAGTCAACGATAAATTTAAATCTACACTAATTTCGCGAATTTGAAGGCCACGCATCCCTTCAGTCGTTTCACTCCGGCAATATTTTAGCATATACGATTACGATAGCGAATTTAACCTTTTTATACAATTCTACGAAACGAATAACACCAAGGACGGAAATTATTTGCGTGAATTTTTGTACTACACAGGAATATTGCCTTTATTTAATCATTTACTTTTATTATTTGGGAACTTATTTCTATTCGACATTGAGCCAATAATTTGTGGACTCCAATTATATACATTTTTTTTCTGGACTCCAATTTTGTATATGTACATAATTACAAAAACTGAGACTTTCAACTCTACATTGTTGTATCCAAACAATTCGAATTATTTAAAAAATCATAAAAAATGCGCTCATTAGAAATGTTGAGAATCAAATTCGAAATTGGATTCCTCGATTAGCCTATTTCTCAGGAACATAACTCAATTCTATGTTTGTGAGAATTTCTTCGAATTCAAAGAAGTTCTGTTCAATGTTAATCTTCGTCCCTGAAATTTATTTATTTCAAAAAATAGGTTCCTGATAACACATTTTATGTCCCTATTAAATAATCCCTCTCTTATGTGGCCGCTAAATTCCCAAATCCACAAAATAGTCACTGGCACGACACGTCATCAAACCCTAATGTAGCAACTAATCCGGCTCTTGTTCGTCTACAGAAGCATAACAATGCATGAATAGAGCTTTTATATCAAATTCTATATAAAAATAAGTTTAGGTTCGGGATTATCAATAAGTTTTCAACGCGATGCTGGACCATCGTCAAATTGCAGCATTGATTGTGCTACCAGTAATTTTTTTTGGAAAAACTATAATTTTTAATTGATCATTGAATTACAGTTAGCAGCCACAGGGGTAATTTGTAACTGGACGGTTGCTATCATAATTCGAAGATTGCCAAGTATGCAAAACGCGTTCGGAAGACTTACATCTAGTCAAAGTATCGGCGACGCAACCCATTCTTCTCTTTTCCTCTTCTACTACGTTCCAATGTGTCTATTGTAAAAAACCAAATAAATAAATAAATAAAAAACGACTAAATGTTTAGCAACAGCAGTTTTCTAATGAAATATTCCGAGCATTGCGGTCATTTACTTCTGATTGCCTACGATATTTCCACCTATTCGCATTTATTTATTTCGTTGAATCGATTCTGCGCAATTTATCGACCTGTTCAATATGAGCAGATTTTCAGGCAAGAAGCGAATCTCATTAAAAAAATAATCAAAATTCATTCATGAAAAATTTAGTAAAAGGAATACCAATTTAACAATCGTATTTTCTTGGGTTGTCGCTATATTTCCAACATTCTATTATTATGTCTACAGTAGGAAAACTCAACACATGTTGAATGAATAATTCGCAATTTTTGTTTAGAAGACTGCCGATTTATTTACCTTGACAATTTTTGGGCTTTTGTCTTCACAACTACACCGATTTGTCAGAAAATCACTTGGTACGCCGATTTTCTTAAATACAACTCGATCGTTTGTATGATCGTTGTAATTGATGTGATTACTGTATCAAAAGTTCGAAATTTTAAGCAAAAGGTAAAATTTTGAAGAGAATTCTTGCTGAAATCGGACATTTTCAGGTGACCGGTGTTGTTTGCAAAAGTCACGCGAAAAAGAAGAGGAATGAAATCAATTTTTTGAAGCAGGTTACTCATTTTCGAATTGACAAAGAATAATGAAAATGAAATGAAAATGAATAGGCGTGCCTTCAAGCAGCGGTTTTTCTTGTCGAATTGGTCACATACTTCATTATTACTCCGATAGTTACCGACGAATACAAATGGGGCCGATTTTTTCTTTCGACATTTGCATGGGTGTTCGTTCGTTCATATGAGTGATGGGTATTATTTTAAAAAATTAAAAAAAAATGTTTCCCTTCAGAATCATCACCATTTCCTTCAACAAAGAAGTCTTGGAATATATTTTTGGAAAAATCTTACAAGACAAAATGCCATCAAGATTATCGTTTATCACGAGTAAACTTTTTCAGAAATTCCTTATATTTTTGCCAATTTTCTTTTTTTTTCAGGGGCACGAACATCAAGCGACGTCATTCAACATCCAAAGAATCCGTCGAGCATTCATTAATCAAATACTTTTTTACGATAAACTTTTCAAATGATTTGAATTATTTATTTGAGAATCCTTAAAAAGTCGATATTAGAACGTGAATATTAAATAACCTTAATTAATATCATAGAATTGATTATGTAACCTGATGAACAAAAATAGCTTTCGTTTGATTCGCGAAATTTCCGAAAAACTGAGTCACTCAATTAAGCATCACTTTTTTTCATTATTTCTCAACATTTCAGACACAAAATAGATTCGTTTGTTCTTGAGCAGATCTTCTACAAAAGATCAAATTACAAAATTCTGTTATAGCGTCTTTTGGAAACACTTCTCAAATTTTTAGACGCTATTACTAATTTGCACTTTTAATAAAGAAATGTGATAAACAATTAATCATAATATTAATTAGAATCGCGTTTTTTAGTCCAATATAACCGACATTTGTACATTCATTCTTGGCCAGTCTACTCGCGTTTCGAAATTTCTCGTCTTTTCGAAAAACAAATGAAAACAAATGTTTGATTCATTCGTCATTTATTGGTTCAAATGTACTATTCTAGGGTATTTTGTCATATGGTTCGATGCTCATATCCAATTATTTAATACTTTTTTTCAAATTACGTAATCAATTAGTAAATAGTTTTGGTTGAATAATTTTTCTCGGTTTTTTCATCATTTGTCATCAGACTTTTAAGAAATCATAGTAGTTTTCAATCAAAGAATATAAATTAAAATAATTGAGATAATAGAAATCTTCATGTCTTGCGTTTCGTTTCTTGAATACAAATTAATTTAAATATTTCCAGAAGAATGGTGGAAAGCCGCCAAATTGCGGCTTTTGTTGTTCTTCCGGTAGGTTGATTGATTGCAAAACTATTTAAATATTATTACAACTACTGCTAATTTTGAATTTTGATAGGTTGCCTTTATTGGCTTCATAAGCAATTGGTGTGTGGCGATAGTGATTCGAAGACTTTCGAGTATGCAAAACTCGTTCGGCATGATCACGACGAGTCAAAGTATCGCCAATGCCATCCATTCTTCACTCTTCCTATTCTACTACGTTCCAATGCTCTTATTGTAAATTATTGACATTTTAATAATCACAATTTAGCAATTTATTTTAAGGAACAATGATTTCCTGAGAGATTATTCGAAATATTGCGGTCATTACCTTTTAGTTGTTTTCGACATTTCGATGTGCTCTCATTTGATTAAGTCAATCAATCGTTTGATTGCGATGTATCGACCACAAATGTACAACATTCTGTTCAGGTGAGCCAATACAAAAATATCAGCGAATATTTTGAAAAATTCAATTAAAAACAAACTCGTTTCTCGATTAGCGAATCATTCAAAATTAAGCAAAATCGTCACTATCTGGATTATCACGGGAATGTGGATCCTCTCGATTCTACTCGCCTTTTCCCTCTACACTTATTGTAAAATTCAAGCGTTTCCTTCAATACCAACTATTTCTTTTTAGTTCCATGCCATCTTTATTACTATGACAAATTGTGGAGCTTCGTTTTCACCGAAACCCCTTTCTGTAGTAATCTCTTATATTATGCTGTCTTTATCAGATACCACATAATTGTTTGCTTCATAGTCTTACTAAATATCCTCACTGTATTCAAATTGAAGAAGTTAAATCAACAAGTGAGTTCAGTTAGTCAAAACAGAACAAAATGATTCTCAAGGTTTCTGATCAAACGCAACAGGCTCTCAGAAGAAACAATGTATACGAAGTCAATTTTCTGAAACAGGTTAATCTCTGATTTAAATAATGAGCGCCGTCTTTTTTCAGACATGCTTCCAAACCCTTCATCTCGTTATACTTTTAATTTCTTGCTTCATTACTCCAAATGTTCTTCCAAATGAATACAGCAAATGGATCAAATTCTTCCTCATTTCATTCGTCTGGGTTTTCGTTCATATGAGTGATGGGTTAGTTTTTAATATCTAAACAGAGTAAATCTTCTTTAAAGGATCATAACTATTATATACAATAAGGAGTTCACCGAATATATCATCGAGAAAACTTCGAATACGTCGTCGGCAACCATAAGCAGTAATTCAATTATTGATTTTCAATCGTTATTTTTGTTATTCATTTTTTTTCAGGAAATCATTCTGTTAGCGATACCGAAAGCAATAATCCTACCATTGAATAATGTTTCATTAGAATAATTCAACTCTGTAGATTAGCTTAAAATGGGCGTGGTTTCCAATCAGGGATTTAGAGGATTACCTTATTTTACTTCTCAAAATATCTTGCTTTTTTTCTTCAAACAATGCTTGAAGCTCGTCAAATTGCTGGGCTTTTTATACTTCCGGTAAGAAATCAAACAAAAATCAAACAATTCGACCAAATCAATTCAAAGACCGCATTTGTTGGCGTTGTGTGCAATTGGATGGTGGCATTAATCATCCGAAAACTTCCGAGTATGCAAAATTCATTCGGCCGACTTACCGAGAGTCAAAGTATCGGCGACGCAACCCATTCTTCTCTTTTCCTCTTCTACTACGTTCCAATGTGTCTATTGTAAGTCATTTGGGTGTCATTTCAAAAATAGCTTTTAATATTTTCAGCAACATTGAAATTCTCAAAACATATTCACAATATTGTGGTCATATGTTGTTAATTGCCTATGATTTATCCACATACTCTCATTTGGCAATTTCTTTGAATCGATTCTGCGCAATTTATCGTCCCGTTCAATATGATAAAATATTCAGGTAATATAATAGATTCAGTTTAATAAAAAATTTCATATGATTTAGCAAAAGAAATACATTTATAATTATTACAATCTCCTGGATGACAGCCATTCTTCCAACATTTTATCTTTATATTTATGGTAACTTGGTTTTCTGTAGTCATTTCTAAACTACGAATTATAGCTGACTGTCGTTTTCCGTATCTCGAAACCTTTTGGGCTTTTGTCTTCACAACTACCCCGATTTGCAAGACGATTACCTTATATGCAGATTTTCTTAAATATAATACCATCGTTTGTATGATCGTTATTATTGATTTAATCACAGTTTCGAAAGTCCGCAATTTCAAGCATAAGGTAAATGTCTATGAGAATATGATAAAATTTAAAAATACCGAATTTGAAGGTTACTGGAATCGTTTGTCAAAGTCATGCGAAGAAACGCAAAAGCGAAATTAACTTTTTGAAGCAGGAAATCAAATAAACGACAGCCAAGTAATTAAAGCGATAATTAGTTAATTACAGGCATGTCTTCAAGCTTGTGTTATTCTTATTGAACTTATTACCTATTTTATAATTACTCCAATGGTCTCCGCGGAAAGCAAATGGGCGCGATTTTTCCTTTCGACGTTTGCGTGGGTGTTCGTTCATATGTGCGATGGGTAGGTTGAGAAGAAAATTTTCGATTAGAAAGCTCCAACTTCAGAATAATTACAATTTCTTACAACAAAGAAGTTTTGGATTATATTTTTGGCAAATTATTCCGTGCCAAAATTCCTTCTCGTTTTTCATTCATTACAAGTGAAATAGAAATTTTTATTTTTAGAATAATTTGGTTGAAATTCAGAGGCAAACACTTCCAGTGATGACAATAACCATGGCAAAAACGCATCAAATAATTATTAACGTTTACAAATTATTTTAATCTGCAATTGCATTGGTTTACTTTTCGTTTATGATTATTGCTGAGTTCTCCCTTACTCGAAAATAATCTTTGTTTCTTTATATATATTTAAAGGGAATTATTGAAACCGTTGAAGCAACAATTGAAACGACATCCTTAGCATCACAGAACCACAAATGATAAAAATCCTTTCCCTTAATTTTTTTTTTCATTTTTATTACTAAACAATAAATACTATTTCTCTGACACGTTATAAATATTTAAGTGTGTTGTTTTTTTTTTGTAAGTAGAAATGAATTTATGGACCTTTTTGTGATTAAATTTTGTCGGTTAGGTTTTTCTAACAATTTCGATTTGATAATGTTCAAAATTCAGCAATAAACTACAGTAGACATCATAAGACCAACCTTATTATAAAATAATATTTTCAATTTACTTTGAAAATCAAAAAATTGTATTGTTGGTGTCCGGCGACTGCTGTACGCGGGTAGATTTACGGGGATGCTTCATTGTCTTGGTCTCGCACGGACTAACAGGTTATTTCGCATCTTATGGGGGCGGTTTGATAATTGTTTTATAGAATGACGTTGGAAATTCAAGGAAATGCGAAACTCATAAAAAATTAACCGTAGACGCGAAAACAGCAAAATAAGCGTTCACGCGTGGCGAGACCTTTTCAAGGCGCATGCGTGTAAATCTACCCGCGTACAGCAGTCGCCGGACGCCTACCTACTATAAACTCGTTTCAATAATTTTCAAAATGCAAAATTGTGTTCATTTATATATACCGTATTATCGTGGTATAAAAATCCTCATATTACACCTTGATCTGACTTTTCCCTTAATCATCAACTTTGTTCCAAACATATTTATCAGCTTACAGTATTCGCTAAGGATTAAGGGAGGGATTAGCAGTCTTCGAATATCGCAAGTTGACCAAGGCAAAAAAGTAAAGTAAATTGTGTCAAAAGAGAAAGTATTACAAGAATTAATTTTTGAGACCAACGACTAAGCATTGAAGAACTACGCACATCCACACCAATACAATAGTATGATATTCATGGTGATGAGTTCAATCGAAAATTGAACAACGAAAATATTTGTGAATTATTCGGAATTGTAGTTACTGATTGTGAAGCGGGACGTCTTAAAGGATATCTGGAATACGCTCCAAACATGTTCGATAATAATTTCATAAGCTTCATTCGATATGGCGTAATTGTAGATAATGTTATAATTGAGAAAACGATTGATGTGCTTGACATTCCGAACATGTACAAAGCCACTATTGGATATCTAAAATACAGAAAATACAGCTTTAAAATATATATTATGGCGTACTTTACAATCGGAAACTTTGTAACAAATAGAATAAATACAGCAACTGAAGGAATAGCCAATAGTATGCAGTAGGCGATAACATTTATAATAAACACTTCGAAAACTTTTTTCTGATTCTCACTGATATTTCGGGATAAAATAGCTTTATATTTGGAATATGATAAGCACATTCTAAATTAAAAAAAAATTATATAGACGAGTTCGCAATTGATATGACACATACTTTAAAATGAATAACGACGTAACAATAACAAACAGAAATGGTATAATAAAACCCTCGATAAGTAGAATATTCATTGGAATATTGGCATTTTTTATGTCAATTATATATGCCGCATAATCGATAAAAATTGATTTGAGTCGTTGATCTACGAGAGAAATTTGTGAAATCATCTCCGGATGACGATAATCAATTGCTAAATAAATTGCAACTGCATGTAGCAAAAAACTGAAAATTGCGCAGAAATACCAAAATATGTTGACTTTTAGCACAATTCTGAAATTAGAAAAAAATTAAATTTTCAACTATTTCTGGTTTAACCCTCAATAATAAAATTTTACTTCATTTTCTCGGGATAAATAATCGATAAGACGTGAAAGAAAACTTGAGAAATGAGGCAATACACGAATGGGACCAACAAGCAGACAAAACAGATAATGCATATCGCCGTTGTATAATAACAATACTGGAGTGGTCCCAGTGTGAATATTATGGAATAAGGTCCAATTATATACGGACGCCATAATAGGCAGACGAAGTTGGTGAATAATGCGGTGAGTAAAATATTGATTATAAGAATATTTCGATAGGACTGGAAAAGATTCGAACTAAATAAATAAATTATAGCAATAGTGATGGGAGCGACAATATCAGTTACTGAAAATAATTTATAAATGGGTAGTAGCATTTATTTATCTGGACGGACGAATTCATAAACTATACTGGTGTTTGATTAGTTATCAAGTATATAATTACACACTATTAGCTGTTTATGCTTCAAGACCCGTGCAGAGGTGAAATTCGTCCGGGCAGCATTGTTAATTCTAGTTACCGACGGCTAATGAAATTAAAGCAATCTTGTATATGTTGAAATAATTTTCTTTGTGGTGTTCAAATATATCATATAAACTTATATACTGGTCATTATGAGAGCATAATATCAGACAAAAACGATGCTGATCAATATATTCAAGAAAAAACTGCATAAATCCATTATAAAACAAAGGAAAAAAAAAGCATGGATAACAAAATCACCTGTCAGCTAAATACGAAGGTTGTATGGGAATGTTCTAAACATCATTAAAACAATTTGTAACATTGGTATCATTTTGGTTTGTTATAACAGATTGTAAGGGCCATTTTTATAGTTAAGGCTTCATATTCCAATCTAAAAATTTTCAGCAAATGACCTAATAATAAGTATGTAAGTATTGCATTCGCAAAAAACGAGCCCGTTGCGCTGATTGGCTGCCAGTTAGATTCGCTGGTTATCCAAATTAAGTGCGATGGTCCACAATTATGCAAGACGCTCGTTTTTTGGCGGTAAACCTCGAAAGAAACTGCAAATTCACAGAGATATACAAAAAAAGAATTAAATAAAATTATATTGAAATATATGTGCATCGACAAATCGAAAAACACGCGTTTTTTGTGATACAATGAGCCAAATTCGTTAAATCGGTTCAGATCTGATGTATAAATGTTGTCGTGGCCGAAAAAATCACCACATACTACCAGGCACAAGCCAAAGTGATCCAATAAGATATTCTTATTCTATCTCGTTGAAAGTACTGTTCGATTCTGCATCGAGAATAAACAAAAAAATAATCATTGGTTAATGTCAGAATTTGTTCAAATGTCAATAATTACACGTTTTTTTTTCTCACTTCACAAGGGAGGTCATTTTGCTGTCCGTCTTAAAATTTTTTTATTTTTTGCATACAGATTCTTTAGAAAATTTCCAATCGAATGAACTAGGTCGCTACCTGCGCAAACTTCTAGTTATCGAGATATGGACCTTCAAAGTTTTAGCCCCTCCCCACGTGAATTTTGCACACAAATGTGCGGAAACTCGAAATGAAATAGTGGGATGTCTTATATCGCGCATAAATCCTGGTTCAGCAAGCAGTTGTGGTTGAGTGGTGTGTAGGTTATGTTGTCATGAATGGAGATTCGGTCCCGCTATCTGCAAACTGTTTTGCGTATTTCTTTTTATTGGTGGTACAGTAATTATGACAGTGCAATTTTGCGTTTTTCTATTCAAATTTGCCATTTTCATCATATTGAAAGGTTATGTATACGAGAAAAAAATAGTTTTAAAAAAATTTTTTAAAATTGAAAAATTTTTTATAAGTTATATGGTTGTTGATCATGAAATGCTTGGAGCAGTGGATGTCACAATAGAAGACTGCGTTTCCTACTCGCAAAAACTTCGACGTCCAAAGTTGTACGAAACCGGTGCAACGGAATTGTTTCGGTCTTCAACATGTTGTTTCGAGAACTCTGGAACACAACTTCTTGGGGAAACCTTCTCATCAAATCCTTTGTTATGACAGAATACGGTCAAATATGTCACCTAGAAAAAAAGATTCAAAATGGCTCCAGTACAGTTAGACAGCTAGTAAAAATCTTTTATTGAAGCCTTCTATTGTGACATCCACTGCTCCAAGCATTTCATGATCAACAACCATATAACTTATAAAAAATTTTTCAATTTTTAAAAATTTTTTTGAAACTATTTTTTTCTTATACATACCCTTTCAATATGATGAAAATGGCAAATTTGAATAGAAAAACGCAAAATTGCCCTGTCATAATTACTGTATCACCAATAAAAAAATACGCGAAAATGTTTACAGATAGCGGGACCGAATCTCCATTCATGACAACATAACCTACACACCACTTTGCGCAGGTAGCGACCTAGTTCATTCGATTGGAAATTTTCTAACGAATCTGTATGCAAAAAATAAAAAAAATTTTAAGACGGACAGCAAAATGACCTCCCTTGTCAGCATTATTTTTCAGATTCAAATTTGCTAAAGTTAACGTCAAAGAGTTGTATGCATTTCATCATTTTAGTTATAATTCAAAGCACTCTTATATTTTTTGGTCTTTTATCTAACATTATATTCATTAAACTCTCAATTTTTACGGGTATTTTGAGCTCATATACAAGGTTGAATAATGTGAAAATAGAAAAAGAAAATTCAAAGATTTTAAGGGTGACATTAACTACGTTATCGTTTGGAAAGTTAACCATATTATTTTTTTCATTTTTGGAAATTATTGGATGCAGCCTAAACGGGGTGTCGCTTGATGATGAGCCATGCCAAAATTCTGGTTTGCATTCAGTGAAATCTTGTCAGAAGACAAATAGATCCTATGATGACATAAAATTGTCTATCTAAGAGTTCTCGGTGGAAAGGGACTGCTTGTGTTGAAACAACCACAACCATGTCTGTTAGAGCAATCCTCACATAACCTCCACCACATAAGAATTTGTGCCTACAATTTTCAAGCCCTAGCCATAACTATGCACCTTGTGGGCAATATCAAATGTGTCTCGTCAATTAACTCGAAAAAGATGAAAACGGCAATTGTGGCAAATCTCTTTGAATTACAAGACCTCATTTTGCCATATGGGACGAGGAATTGAAACTGACAATTGACTCAATTTAATAGATAATCTTCATAACCACATTTTATATTTTCTTGTGGATCCCACAATGCCAATCTATTCGAGATTACCAAATTGCTCTGAGAAACAACTCTTTTGTTGGAAAATAAATATGCGAAAACTGTGCATGGAAAATCGGGCGAGGGGTTCAAAAGAGAGGCTTGCCAATCTTACCACCGAGGAATTCTAGAATTATAAAATGCAGCAATTTTCTGCAGTTTGGTCAAATTTCTGGCACAATTTCCATCGTTATGGCGAGTTTATTACAATTTTAGCTCAATTTCTCTTCAGTGCAGGTACTAATCAATAATTGAATCGATTCAATTTTTCTTTCAAGATCGCCTTATTAGTATTAACTACTATACAACCTACAAAACTACAAATTATCGATATTTTTTATATTTTCTACTATTTATTGCACATTTGTTTTCAATATTTTGCGCATTTGTCATTAAAACCATTGTTGAAGGTTTTTAAAAATATATTTTAACACAAAAGAATTTTTTATTTTAGAAAATGCGTATTATTCAATTATGTTATTTGTAATGTTGTTTCTTTCTTTGTTATCATTTTCCACTTTAGTGGTTTTCAATATTTATTTAATTTCTATTTGACCTATTAATTTTTAGTTGGAACTAATTGACTGTCGATTATCTAAAAAGCGGTTTATTGAAACGAGAGGTTTAGCAAGTGTTTCAAGGAGATATGAGGTATCAATATATTGAAAAAAAAAATCAATGGGAAACGTTTTTCGAAAATTGCGAAAAGTTTTTAAAGTCAGAGATATAATTTGCTTTAAATGAAATAGAAATATAAAGAAACATCTAAAAATAAAATCAGAACTGAATACGAAAGCGCTGTGGAATTTAAAAATTACCAAGGTTTCATTGAATATTGCGGGGGAATGGAAATATTCATTTACTCGAAATGGACTTGAAAAAAATTATTTTTTTTACGATTTCAGGATAAACTCATGCCGGGTAAACTTCGGTATTACTTGGTGTGGGACGAATTCGTTGAAAAATCAAAGTAATCTGATTTGGTGTTGTTTTTCGGCATAACATCAATTGTGAAAATTTCTAAATTCTGTTTTCAAAATTGAATTCAGGGCTAAAAAACACGTATATGTTCCAATATTCATAATGATATCTAAAAATTTGGTCGAATGGCATTGAAAACACTGAAAATTGGTCACTTGCAACCGTTTCACATTTATAAAGCCACTCCCGTGAAAACAGTAAAAACTCAATTATAAAAGAATTCAACACCAAGACCATCCAAAATGTGGAAAACCTGGTCCAATCGATGCCAAATCGTATTTACGACCTTATTTTTTTTAAAGACACTGCAACTAAATATTGATCTGGTTTTATAATAGAGTTTTTACTGCGT